AGTTATCTTATTTCTGCCCCAGATAAAATATTTACTTACCTGTGATACTGAAATATCAACACAGAAGACACTAACACTCATCCTCAGTGATGAGTATTCACTGTGGATTTGCTGCATCATTCCAGAATGCGCTGGCTATCACCGGGACAGACAAGGCCCGCTGGCTATCACAAGGGAACAGACAAGTGCCTGGCTAACCAGGTACAGACAGGCGCGCTGGCTATCACAGGGACAGACAGGCGCCCTGGCTATCACAGGACAGACAGGTGCGCTGGCTATCACAGGGACAGACAGGCGCGCTGGCTATCACAGGGACAGACAGGTGCGCTGGCTTCACAGGGACAACATGTGCACTGGCTATCACAGGGACAGACCGTTGCTCTGGCTATCACAGGGACAGACAGTTGCCTGGCTATCACAGGGACCGACAGGTGTCGCTGCTATCACAGGGACAGACAAGTGCGCATGCTATCACAGTGCACAGAACGGGCGCGGCTGGCTGTATTCTGCACAGGACAGACCGGTGCGCTGGCTAGCACAGGGTACAGACAGGGTGCGCTGGCTATCACAGGGACAGACAGGTGCGCTGGCTACCACAGGGACAGACATTTGAGCAGGCTATCATCAAGGTACAGACAGGTGTGCTTGCTATCACAGGACAGACAGGTGCGCTTCTATCACAGGGTACAGGACAGGAGCCTGGCTATTCACAGGGACAACAGTGCGCTGGCTATCACAGAGTACAGACAGGAGCGCTTGGCTATCACATAGACAGGTGCGCTGGCTATCACAGGACAGACATTCGCGCTGGCTATCACACAGGGACAGACAATTGCGCATGGCTATCACGGGACAGACAGGTGCGACCAGGCTATCACAGGGACAGACAAGTCGCTGTCTATCACAGGGACAGACAGGTGCGCTGGCTACACAGGGACAGACAGGAGCGCTGGCTATCACAGGACAGACAAGTGCGCTGGCTATCACAGGACAGACAGTGTCGCTGGCTAATCAAGGGACAGAACAGGTGCGCTGGCAATCACAGGGACAGACCCGTGGCGCTGGCCTAACACAGGGACAGACAGTTGCGCTGGCTATCACAGGGACAGACAGTCGCTGGCTAACACAGGGACGACAGGTGCGCTGGCCCTATCACAGGGACAAGACAAGTGCGCTTGGCTATCACAGGGACATGACAGGTGCGCTGGCTATCACAGGGACAGACAGGTGCGCTGGCTACACAGGGGACAGACAGGTGCGCTGGCTATCACGGGACAGACAAGTGCGCTGGCTAACCACAGGGACAGACAGGTGCGCTGCCTAACACAGGGACAGACAGGCCGCTGGCCGTAACACAGGGACAACAGGCGCGCAGGCAAACACAGGGACACAAACATTTGCGTCTGGCTATCACAGGGACCGACAGGTGCGCTGCTATCACATAGACAGACAGGAGCGCCTTGCTATCACGATAGACAGGTGCGCTGGCGCTATCCACAGTACAGACAGGCGCGCTGGCTAAGCACCGGGACAGACAATGCGCTGGCAATCACAGGGACAGACAGGTGCGGCTGGCTACACAGTGACAGACAAGTGCGCTGGCTAACACAGGGGGGACAGACCGGGTGCACTGGCTAACACAGGGACAGACAGGCGCGCTGGCATCACAGGGACATGACAGAGTGCGCTGGACTAACACACAGGGACAGACAGGAGCGCTGGCTATACATGGACAGAACAAGTGCGCTGTGCTAACACAGGGGACAGAACAGGTCGCTGCAATCACAGGGACAGACAGGAGCACTGGCTAACGACAGGACAGACGGGTGCGCTGGCTATCACAGACAGACAAGTGCGCTGGCTAACACAGTGGACAGACCGGCGCGCTGGCTAACACAGGGACAGACAGGCGCGCTGGGTCTAACACAGGGCCAGACCGGCGCGCCTGGCAAACACAGGGACAGACAGGCGCGCTGTCTAACACAGGGACAGACAAGTGCGCTGGCTAACATCAGGGACAGACAGAAGTTTGATCAAAATATGACTTTGCGAGAACTAATCATTATGATTTTATGGAGAAGAGAATCACTATTGTGAAATTATTAAAAGAAGGTATCCAATAAAAATGGATGCATTACTGTGTGACAAGATGTCAAAGTAAACTGACATTGAATATTTATTTGCAAGACAAAACTAGTCTATATAAGATATTGCTCAAAAAATCCCAAGAGTTTCGAGAAAATTTATAATTTTTTTAAAAACTCTACTTGCTCGCTAGAAATTTCGATGAAGAACTTTCTTCCAGGTAGCGAAGACCATTAATGAGCAGGAGGATTCATGTGAATCATTTGAAGAATATTCTCAGTTCTTGACATCCCCTGAAGATACAGATGAAAAGTTCACTTGAATTTGACAATCATGACCTCACACTGAATTAACATTTCAGCCCTCATTCCTTTTTTGGGGTTGAAGTCTCTGAAGGTCCTGAAGAACTCAGATGGAACTGATTGAGTCATCCAAAGATAGCATCAAACCAAGAACTCTAAAATGGTTAACTTTTGAGACCTCAATCAGTTCCAATCTAGAGTTCTTCAGGCACCTCAGAGACATCAACGGTGTGCTGAAATGTTAATTTCAGTGAGAGGTCATGAATTGTCAAATTCAGTTGAAACTATCCCTGTATTCTTCAGGTGAGTCAATAAAAGCATAAATAGTCATCAATGATTCACATGAATCCTCCTGCTCATTAATTGGTCCTTCGCGCTACCCTGAGATAGTCTTCATTCGAAATTTCTATTCGAGCAAGAAGGGTTTAAAAAATGATAAATTTTCTCGAACTCTTGGATTTTTGACCCTATATCTATAAGACTAGTATTGCCTGCAAATAAATATCAAAGTCAGTTTACTTTGAACATGTTGTCACACAGAAATGCACCATTTTTATGGATACCTTCTTTTAATAATTCACAAAAGTGATTCTCTCTCCATAAAATCTAATGAGGGTTCAAGTCAAGTAGCTCTATTTGCAATTTTTAAATTAATGGGATCTTTCTTAGCATCAACAAAGGAACTCTAAAATGTTCACGAAAGATCCCATTAATTTAAGCAAAATGCAATAGAATACACACAACTATGGCAACATACACACGAAGGCTTGTCATATGTCTCACAGAATCTACAGATCTCCTAGGTAACTCCAGATCACCGACCCGTAATTAAGGTCGCATAAAACGGAGTACGTAAAGCGCTTGTAGGGTCAGACGTACCTGTGTGGAACCTCCAGGGTGTTTAACCAAATATTCCAAATATTTTCCTAAAAGGGCAGAAGTCCCAGCAACAACGTCACTAAAAGTTATCTTGTAGTAGTTAAACAAAAATATTTTTTGAAGTTATTAATAAAATAATTAACGTGTGTTTAAACACGCGTTTTACAGAATATAAGCGCGGCATTTTTGAGGATATGCTAATACAAATTTCTTGAAAGCGGCGCATAATTAAATTATAAATATATAGAATGCAGACTTCCAACATAACAAGGTTCCCATGTCGCTGATGCCAGCAAGAAAAGATAGGTAAGGGATCGAGCGGGGGAGTCATGTAATAAAGACGTATGGCAATTACTGAGAGGAAGGAAAGGTGGTCAAACAGACAAAAGATGAACACAGCTTCAAGGGTAACGCAACTGAAAGTTAAAAACACAAATGAGTCATCCGGATGTTAGAAGATAATTTTTTGAGCTTAAGTTGCCGGAACTGAAGCAATCTGAATGAAGTAGTGGAGGCAAGATCCATACACAGCTTTAAAGAAGAGAATGACAAAGCTCATGAAAGAACGGAGGTAGTGAATCTGTTAGCAATCCAGAGAAGATCGGGGCCAGGAGCTGTGTCACCGGAAAACCCAAAAAAAATAAGACCCCTGCCAAACTACAATTACGTGAGTACGCACACCAACGACTCAACCACACACACACACACAAACACAAACACACACACCCACACACACACCAACAAAAAACACACACACACCACACCACACTTCACACACAACTCACAACACACACACCACACACACACACATCAAAACAGACACACACACACACACACACACAACACACACACACACACACACACACACACGCACAAAACACACACACACACACACACACACACACACACACGCACGACACACACACACACACACACAGATACACCACACACACACAGATACACAACACAGAAATACACAGATACACACCCCAACACACACACACACACAACACACACACACACATGACACACACACACACACAGATTACACACACACATACACAGAAACACCACATACACACACACACACACACACAAACACACACACACATAACACAGATACCACCACACACACAGAACATACACATACACCACACACACACACACACACAGCACACCCACACACACACACACACACACCAAACACACACTCACTTACACAGATACACACACACACACAAACATACACATCCACCACACACACCACACACACACACCACACACACACACACACACAACACCACACCACACACACCACTAATATTAGATCTATATGCGAGTAGCAAGTACAATGTCTTCCCACCCATCATGCCAGATCACACAGTCCTGCTGGAACCAGTTTGTTATTCCTCTCCTTCTACTCTTTAACACATAATTTTAAAATACTTATCTCCACAGATGATGAAAAGTATTGCCAAATGTTTTATCAGGCCGAGGAACGTCAACCTGCGCCTTCTGAGTTTTTCTCCAGAACCCCGATGCTTAGAGATGAATAATTATCTGTCCTTATAAATGAATTTAAGTCTTAACAAACGAATATTAAAATTCTTAAGAAATAAAATTAGCAGTCAGATAATCGATAATTCATTGTAAAAAATAATGAACAGCAGTCAGACAAGTGCTGTGTGGACAACATAAAAATTATATTAATAAACAAAGTGAAACAATATATATTTAACATAGTAATTTGACGACACGTTGTTGCTTTTGTGCTGCCAGGTTCCGGAAATAAGGCAGGTCCTTCAAAGATGTCCTCCCAGGATCATACAGGCCCACAGAATTTCTCCACCAAGTTGACAAAGAACTGTTAGAAAAAAGTCACTAATATACTGACAATAACATATACGTTGTTTGGTTTGGAGGAATTCAATTGTTTCAAACTCCATTTGATGAAGGTTTTATATAAAAGATGCCAGGCAAGATATATGTAATTGAGTGAAGGTTTAAGAATATATACAGAACAGCAGATCCCCTACACCAATATATTCAACCGATAGAATACCTTATCAACCAAAGATATCTGTGAGAGCTCCCATTATTACCATGCCCACATATCTCGTCCTCATCAAAAACATTCAAGCACAAGCAGAGCAATAACCTACACCAGGTGCATCCGTTTTCTATCCAAAGGAAAATTATCAACAAGTGAGAACTTACTGACCTGCACAAAAACCCGTACATAGACGAGAGGGACTATACTACGACTTTCGGTCGGTCTGGCGACTTTGGAGCATTTACGAAGTCAACACTAACGAAAATTTAGATATTGCAGGATGGGTATAAATAAGGCAAGGAGGTGGTAGTACTGTAGTAGTGGTAGTGGTATTAGTGGAGGGGAAGGATGTAGTAGAAGGGAGATAGTAAGCTCCTCACTTCTAATTGCGGGTTATTTGTGTATCGATTCCAGTCACGGTATTGTGTCTTATTGTTTTATTTACGACAATACTTCGCTAGAATGCACACACTCGTTCACCAACATCTCACACGTATTAAAACCTTCCCTTTTCACACTATCATGCAGACAGTCAGCACCTGTAGGAATGATTGGGTGGACAAAGATTTACTCAGGACTAATGTTAGGTCCCCATGCTGCAGAGTAAGACGACGTTTTGAGTAGACATTGACATCCCGGGCCAACTTTTTTAACGACATGCTGTAAGTACCGACCACCGCTCATTTTTCATCATATTTACTTTACTTTTCATTATTGCTGTGGAATTCAAAATTCTCTTTTAATTCCTCATGAAGTTTCAATTTAGAACAATACATAAGAAAAAGAGCTATGTTTCTAAATAAAAGACTCAGTTTCTCCACGAGGGACCAAATTTAACATAAAAAGGATATATTAACCTTTTTCATATAATAAACAAAACTTTTACTATAATTACTCCCTATTCTGTGTTTTCATTGTATTTTTCACCTTGATCAGTTTAGGGCAGAGCCATCATAGAGACAGCTCCCACCGACTTGTTATTTTAATAATACTTAATATCAATCAAATATATCATAAGAAGACCGCAGTCAACATAACCAAAATCACGCATATTGTCTATTTAAAAGATAGACAGGAATATTTGACCGATAAATAACGGGTGAACTGTAAATTTACTAATTAAAATATTAAACATAAAGTCAATGGAAATAAAGTTCGTGTTGGATTTAGTTGTGTGGGACTGAAATGAAAATTCAATAGATACCATGGAAAACAAGAAGAAATACCGTTATACAACACATGTTTAACAGCTGATTAAATATCAGAAGATAACTCAAGTTTAACAGAGCTGACAGGAAGGGAAATTGGAACTGTTCCGTAAATGTAATTATTGATACAGTTAGCTACTTAAAATTGGGCTCACAATTCAAAGAACAATAGCTGGATCTTAAGTGTCTACAAAAATTCAACCCCACCAATGCAATATTTAAGGAAAATTGAGGAAAGGCCAAACATTAATGCCTAGGAGTACAGACTTGAGGTCCATAAAAGTTGACCGTTGTCTGTCGCATCCTGGGAACAAAATCGACCCAATTTGCCCGAAATGCTCCTGCAATACCAGTGCTTCTATATATAGTAGTAAGTATGTCAGTGGTGTGAGCTACGCCAGTATACTATTACTTTGTACATATCCTTGTAGAAATAAAAGTTATTAAATTATTATTATTTTTTAATTATTATTAATTTTATACTATTCAATTATAATAATTATTATTCTTATTATAAGTGTAATGCTAGGAATCACTGAAGCAATGCATGAATCAAATTTCCTCTCTCCGCCACTGCTCAAACGACAAAACTAATATTCGCAGCGCACAATTTGAAAGGTAGGATCAAATTACCTATAGAAGTCAGGACATATGTAATCAATCTAAAAGGGGTCAGGAAGTTGGAGCCATCTGGAACAAAGAGGTGGAGCAGGTATAAAACTTAAAATTTTAAGAGCGCGAACAATAGGTTCCCACGATGCAGGGAGTGAGTGAATCTGACAAGCGACAAATTAGAATCGTCCAGAAGGTAAAGGGCACGTGGATGTGAGCCCATGCAAGCACATATTTATTAAAACACATACTGTCATAGGTATAATACACATAGACACACATATACCACGTGGCCATGCGTGCACAAACACACACGACACGAAGAAACACGCACACACAAACAAACACCCCCACAAATAGGTGAGTAAACACATACACGCGTGCGTGTATATGAATTCGTTAACAGGTGCACAAGTTTTGCCTCATGTGGGAGACATCACACTCAACCCCACCGACTGGAAAGCCTAGCCTTAAGGAACAACAAGCTCCAACAAAACAGTCCTTCAACAACATCCCCCTCCCTCATCATCGCTCAACACAAAACTCAAAACAATCCAAGCTCCTACCCCACCTCTCCCAACCCCTACCCTCCTAATCCTACCCACACAAATTAGATGGTTACTCACAACTTTTTCCCACATCCCAGCCGACCATCCTCTCCCCCCTTTCCCTTTTTTTTTCTCCCATTAACTTCACCTCCACATGTCAGTCGCACAACTTTCCTGTGTACAAGTTCAATCCCCATAACTAGCCTTAACCCCATACATCGCACCACTGTTTTAACTCACTTCCCCTGAAACATCGACAAAGAAAACCAGAGACCATGACCCCAAAAACAAGATCACAGTATTGAAAGAAACTTAAACAGTTTGTAATGCTAATCCATAATGAAATAACCAATAAGAGCAATGAATAGAAAGGAGCAAAATAATTGAGTGGCTTCTTTGGCTTCATGGATTTAATTACAGATCTGGTTATCCCCAGAAGAATCGGATAGTAGAAAAAACACAGCGGAACAGAGAGGTGGAGGACTATCAATGCTAAACAATAATCAAGAATTTTGAGAAGAACGTAATAACTGGAGAGAGGGGTCGAACTGACTACTAACAGGGACACACAGAAATGAGGACCCAAGGGTTATTATAGCAGGGATGTTCCACCCACTACTCAACAACGGATCAAGACAGGAATATAAGTCAACAACAGGGCAGCTGCGGCCCCATTAGCAGATGCAGTAGTAAAGCCTACATGAGCAATGTAGAAACTACTGATCATGGAAACTTCAGCCATAAGGAAAATAGACTGAAAAGGTCGAACCACACGGAAGGAACGAATAAGTGCAGTGTAACGCAAGTGTGCTGGAGGTAGGAAACTCATGAGTCAACCTTACAGGGACACACACATCAAACACACAACAGTATCCATCACGAAAATGTAATATCTAACACATTGCTGACTCTTTCATAATAATACTAATATGTATTTTACGCAGTGAGTAACAGTCATACGAACTATTAAATGATTGCAAGGTGCACCTCAACTATTACCCTCATGCTTCTTGCATGTATCCATAATACACAAAATATAACATATTAAAAAAAAAAAATACCTTTTAAACCTATCAAGGTAACAGGAATCTGACCAGCGGACGCCACCGAACACCGCAGCCACAAAAATGCAGGAATTCCAGTCCAGGTGAGCCAATCTGTCCACACGAATTACGGAAAACGATCTGATCAGGTTTCCCTCTAAATCCTATCCATCCAGATGTGAGTGGTCACAGTCTTTATAAATAGCATAAGCCAACCAGGCCGGAGAAGTAGAATACTATCCACATAATGTACGTCCAATCAACGAACTGAAATGCCTAATCTGTAATAAGGAAAGTATCAACATGAACACATTCTTTTAATTGACTTGGGTGTATCCACCATCATATTCATACTGGTATTCTACCATAAGTTTCTATATGTATAATTATCCAGTCAAACTCCTGACAGTACAGTCCTGCAGTCAACTGCAGTGGATTCTTTAAAATTAAGAAATAACAATAACCCTATTATTTTTCGTGGAAAAAATCATTACGGAAAAGCATATTAAAAATGACTCAAGCAACGGAAGTTAATCACTACCCATTTAATAAAATAGGTGAAGGATGTATGTGAAAATAGAAGGTCGATTTCAGGAACTTACTAGAGCCAGCGCCATCCTTAGCCCATGGTGACTAGCAATACATATCATGTAGACTAATACACTTCCGTGCCTCGAAAACAAATATGACCCAAACTTGGGAAGACTAAAACAATTTCGGTATTGTAATTATTTTGTGAACAAAATATTTACTTTCCCAGATACCAACTTTCCTGATTGTAAAAAATCAATATTAAACACAACTTTGCATTCAACAAACAAAGTTAAACAACCTCAAAAGATTATTAGTACAGTCAATGGTAAATCGTAATTTCCCCATGTCTTTCAGATAGGAAACTTAATAAATTGTCAACTGAAATTTTGCGAACAGATTAAGTTGACGTCAAAATTAATCAGTGCAAAATAAATAATGGTGAGTTTTTAACACATAAGATATTTTAAAATAAGACAGCTAATCGAATCTCATCCCACTAACAAGTTAATGAACAGATATGATGATGTTTAATGGTTAATGCGCAGAAATATAGATACCTGGAGTATACCTGAAGAAAATTCGAGGGTCAAACGCCCTCGCTGGCCTCGGTCTTGACAGGCCTCATGGTGGGTCAGGACCTGATCAACCAGGCTGATACCTGTAGGTCGCACGCAACCCGACGTAACAAACTAACAGCTCGGCTAGGTCAGGTATCTAACTTTAGGTGCCTGCCCAGTGCCTTTCTTGAAGACAGCCAGGGGTCCATTTGTAGATCCCCCTTAATGTATGCTTGGGAGAACAGTTGAACAGTCTTAGGACCTAACGCTTATTTAGTCTCTAATCGTGCTAGTGCCAGGCACCCCTGC